GCTCAAGTGTCGCGTCAGACTAGAAATAAAAATGAATTTCGGAGAATTGATTTTTCAGTTACCATCAACAGTGAAGAAAAATGTAAGAAACATTGAGAAAATTCGTGTTAGAATTATTAATCTTACTTTTTCAGTTATATTTAATAATATATGTCTACAAGAAAGACTGCTACCATATTATATATATATATATATATATATATATATATATATATATATATATATATATATATATATATATATATATATATATATATATATATATATATATATATATATAACTGAAAACTCACACCCCAGAAGTGACTCGAACCCATACTGCCAGGAGCACATTGCAAGTGGTGTGTACAGGAGACCTTATCCACTCGACCAACACGACCGGTCAAAAAGTGGAGGTGCTAGTAGTAGTGCTAGTATTAGTATTAGTATTGACTATATGTAATAAGGTATATATGTGCTGTCTTGTGCGAGAGCGGGTTGCCTAATCCATGGGTGTTGACGGGCACCCTAATCCACCTACAGCAAGCAATCCACCAGTTGCACATCATTCGAGTTGTTTAAGACATCGTTCACATCTCCAGTTCAAGTGTCTCAAGATTCACTCTTTCGCTACATTGTTTACGAGAAAAATTAAAATATTAAAGAAAATTTTGTATTCACAATAATAACAATAATGAAATAACCATATCAACAACAAGGAATAGTAATAGCAATAATTTGTATACACCCGAAGGACAATGCGAAATATAAATTCACAAACACATATATATATCAGGTGACAGTTACATTATTACTCCAACATGACACTATTGACACATCAACTGTAATTCACGGTTGTTTTATGACCACAAAACATATGAGGTAATGTATGTGTTATTTCGTGCAGGTGTTTTTAACATATATTGTTCGAGATATGAGTGGTACAAAAAAGTGCTTACCGAAGTTCATTAAACTGATTTGGAATATATACATCTCGTATGACTGAGTTTCGATCTCTATAGGACTAAAGTTTATTTTCAAAGTGGTTGTTGAAGAGAATGAAGAATAAATGCGATGAAGAAACTGCTGGAATATTTCAATATTTCACTACGGGAGCCTCGTAGCCTGGTGGATAGCGCGCAGGACTCGTAATTCTGTGGCGCGGGTTCGATTCCCGCACGAGGCAGAAACAAATGGGCAAAAGTTTCTTTCACCCTGAACGCCCCTGTTACCTAGCAGTAAATAGGTACCTGGGAGTTAGTCAGCTGTCACGGGCTGCTTCCTGGGGGTGGAGGCCTGGTCGAGGACCGGGCCGCGGGGACGCTAAAGCCCCAAAATCATCTCAAGATAACCTCAAGATAGCTGGTTGGCACCTTTGACGGTTGGGTATGTGGTGTTGAAGTCAAGTGAGACTTTATGTATGATGTTGGTTGGAAAACTGTGAATGATATAAAGTATATTCCGGTCAGCCTTCCCTTGTGAATCAAGGACCTATGCATAATAAACACCTCATACACAATATACACCATATGTACCCTTCACACGATACAGCATGTGCAATATATACACCATATACGTGTCCCAACAAAATGTGTACTCACTTTGAATAATTATAAAGCCAGTGTTTATTAAAATACATTTCATTTTCAAAATGTAAATGAATCTACATATATTGTTTAATTGTTTTGTCAACGCGAGTTGTCAAACTGATGATCGTGCTGGTCCAGACACGTGCTGGTCCAGACACGTGCTGGTATAGACACGTGCTGGTATAGACACGTGCTGGTCCAGACACGTGCTGGTCCAGACACGTGCTGGTCCAGACACGTGCTGGTATAGACACGTGCTGGTATAGACACGTGCTGGTCCATACACATGCTGGTCCAGACACGTGCTGGTCCAGACACGTGCTGGTCCATACACGTGCTGGTATAGACACGTGCTGGTCCAGACACGTGCTGGTCCAGACACGTGCTGGTCCAGACACGTGCTGGTCCAGACACGTGCTGGTCCATACACGTGCTGGTCCAGATATTGCTGATAACACGAAGGTATGGCACCCCAGACATCAATAAACATTTCTTTTGGTATTTGAGTGCGTACTTCAGTACATAGTTTTCGGTATTTCAGTCGTTTTCGTATTTGCAGTCTTGGTGTTTCAGTGCAGTGTTAATTCATTGTCATTGTCATTTCATTCATTGTCATTGTCATTTCATTCATTGTTATTGTCATTTCATTCATTGTCATTGTCATTTCATTCATTGTCATTGTCATTTAATTCAGTGTCATTGTTAGTTCAGTGCAGTGTTAATGGCTACTCTCAATTCAGTGACTATTGCCGACTTTATATTTCATGCAACCATATAAAACACAGTCACCTTTGTGAGGTCTGGGAGAAGGAGGAGGGTATTCTACCATTCCCCTTCGTCCAATTTACTTGTTTGGTAAGATCTTATCAAGGTAGGAGCTTACATCACGATGGTAGTGTGAGGGTGCCCCATCTTGCTGAAAATAAAACTACTCCTCTTTACAGACCTCTCTGATGCCTAGCATGACAGACTGTCGTAGCAAGTTCAGGTTAATGGGACCTGTCACAGTAGCGTAAACAAAGTATGGTCTAATTAATCCTCTTGCTGAGAACCCACACCACACTGTAAGTCCTGGGCAATTAACATGATGTTCCACCATAGCATACGGATTCTCAGGTCTCCAGTAGGTGCAATTGTGGTAGGTATTTTTTGTTTTGTTTTGAGATATATACAAGAGTTGCTACATTCTTGTAGAGCCACTAGTACGCGTAGCGTTTCGGGCAGGTCCCTGGAATACGATCCCTGCCGCCAAGAATCGTTGTTACAACCAAGTACACATTTTACTGTTGCGTTAAACAGAGGCTAAAGTTAAGGATTTGCGCCCAGTAAATCCTCCCCGGCCAGGATACGAACCCATGACAAAGCGCTCGCAGAACGCCAGGTGAGTGTCTTACCACTACACCACGGAGACTGTTGAATCTTATAATAGTAGTGTAGCCTCGTCACTCTATACAATCTTCGTTGGACAGTGTGCGCCTTCTGCACATCTTACCAAATACCACTCGCAATACTTCATTCTTCCGTCCGGATCATCTTCACTGATAGCATGGACTAATCTTGGAATGTAACTTTACCAATGGCAGCGCTTCAAAATACGATGGACAGACGCTTTCGAAATTCCTACATCACGACTCGCTTGTCCACAGATTTTCTTTGATTCAAATAACATTCTGAATAGTTCCATCATCTTGAAACTTATTTCTAATCCGACTGATGGTGAGTCGCGAAGGGAAATTTTTTAAACTTCTAAATTGCCTTTGTACTTCAACTGCGTTTTCAAACTTCCAGTAGCATTTTAGGATGAATTTTCTTTCTTCAAACCTTAGTCTGGCTGCAATTGTTAAATTCAATGGGTTAAATAAATCGGATAAGAAACATCAATTTAGCTATCTTGCCGTTAGAGCGAATATACCTTATTTTGGGGACACATACACACTCAAAAATATATATATATATATATATATATATATATATATATATATATATATATATATATATATATATATATATATGTGTATATCACGAAAATAAACACGTGATTAAGAATGTGACAATGTCAGACCACGGAGGAAAAATGAAACAGGAAATTTCCTTAAGTACTTTCGTATATTAAATACATCTTCAGAAGGTTGACCTTCTGAAGATGTATTTAATATACGAAAGTACTTAAGGAAATTTCCTGTTTCATTTTTCCTCCGTGGTCTGACATTGTCATATATATATATATATATATATATATATATATATATATATATATATATATATATATATATATATATATATATATATATATATATATATATATATATATATATATATATATATATATATATATATATATATATATATATATATATATATATATATGGAATAGTATGCATGGTCCGATGTGCCTAACAGACACAATGATTTTCGTTATTTTCAAATATTCCTTTCCAGATACATTATTATTGTTAGAAAATAACCAATTATATTAGGAATATGAATTACTGACAGTTATATCAGGTGATGTTATGTTAGTATAGGTTTAAATAGGTTAGGGGTTAGGTAGGTTGGGTTTGACAAAATTTCTATGTTAGTTTAAACAAATATAAAATTGCCATCCTATATAATACAATGAAAAATTATCAGAAACATTTTCGCAAAATTAGACATTTCATGAAAATTCGGCTTGCTATTTTTTTCTTGGTCCACCAAACCGACATTTGTCGTTCAAGTTCCCGGATTCTTCCCACAGTCTGCACCTCAGTCTGCACCACAGTCTGGCTTGGTTATTGCCAGTTCGCTGGCAGTGGTGGTGACTGGACAACCCTCTCTCTCAGAACAACTATTGCCGCTCGTTGACACAGCCTTTCCTCCCAGGAGTTCATCCTTCATAAAGAGTCTGTACTCTGGAGTTGACTCGTGGATTGGTCTGGGGGAGAGTGAAGAGATAACTATTTCTGCTATAGTTTGATGGTTAAACAGTCATTATAAGTTTGTCGAATAACATATATCATCACATCGTGATGTTGAATGTAAGATATTCATCACATGATAAACAATTACAGGCAAAATGTGCTAGAACGTGTCACGTGTCTGTCATATTTGTTATACATGTCTCTGAGTCTCTGGCTGTCTCTCTCTCTCTCTCTCTCCCTCTCTCTCTCTCTCGCTCTCTCTCTCTCTCTCTCTCTCTCTCTCTCTCTCTCTCTCTCTCTCTCTCTCTCTCTCTCTCTCTCTCTCTCTCTCTCTCTCTCTCTCTCTCTCTCTCTCTCTCGCTCTCTCTCGCTCTCTCTGCCTCTCTCCCTGTCTGTCTCTTTCTCTCATAATTATTTGGTCAATATACACACTTTTACGTACTGAATATTGGGCTGTAATTAGGTCTTGAAACCAATATTTGTATCAAGTATATCATATATATTCGCAAATGTAAATGTTTGCAAACCACTTTTAACTTGAAAAAACGTTTTGTGTGTTGTTATTGATTGAAGTGCGAGGTCGATCGAGGGAGGTTGATCGAGGGCGGTCGATCGAGGGAGGCCGATCGAGGGAGGTCGATCGAGGGAGGTTGATCGAGGGAGGTCGATCGAGGGAGGCCGATCGAGGGAGGCCGATCGAGGGAGGTCGATCGACGGAGGCCGATCGACGGAGGCCGATCGAGGGAGGTCGATCGAGGGAGGCTGATCGAGAGAGGTTGATCGAGGGAGGCCGATCGAGGGAGGCCGATCGAGGGAGGTCGATCGAGGGAGGCCGATCGAGGGAGGTCGATCGAGGGTGGTCGATCGAGGGTGGTCGATCGAGGGAGGCCGATCGAGGGAGGTCGATCGAGGGAGGCTGATCGAGGGAGGCCGATCGAGGGAGGCCGATCGAGGGAGGTCGATCGAGGGAGGCCGATCGAGGGAGGCCGATCGAGGGAGGTCGATCGAGGGAGGCTGATCGAGGGAGGCCGATCGAGGGAGGTTGATCGAGGGAGGTCGATCGAGGGAGGTTGATCGAGGGAGGTCGATCGAGGGAGGTCGATCGAGGGAGGTCGATCGAGGGAGGTCGATTCAGGGAGGCCGATCGAGGGAGGCCGATCGAGGGAGGCCGATCGAGGGAGCGTTCTGAGTGTGTGATGTCACATTCTTTGCCTCGACAGCCAAATACCAATACGTAAAATTATCATACAATACATGATTTACATAAAATAATCAATAAACTCTCAAGCAGATATAGCCATCTCCTTTATTTCATTACTCTTCATATATATATTTTATTCACTGCTCTATGCTGCTTTCCGGTCGATAGCAGTATTATATTATTGTATGTTGTATTTTATAAACCGGTGTGTGGTGTTTTGACCAATGAGACTCGTCGTTACAAAAGTGCCTATTCATTGATAATTCAACCCAATAATACAACAACAACAAAAGCTGCGTTGCCACTTTGTATGTTCCACTGAAGTGAATGGTAAAGGGATACTTTTTCTGGACTGTACCTAATAGCCAGAACGCACTTCTTGGCTTGGTATGCAAGGTCCGATTGGTTAAACAAGGCGAGTTTTCCTGAAATAATATATGTTTTAGTTTTTTCTTATGGAATGATAAAGCTTTCCTATTATGTTACATATTATTTTATTTTTTAAATTTAGCTAAAACTAACGTAGGAATATGACCAAACATAAGCTTAGCTTCCTAGCCTAACCTAAACCTAACCTAAACTAACCCAAGTCAGTAATTCAAGTTCTTAATATAATGTAATGATATTAATTCAAATAAATCAATTTGATTTTTTTAAATAACGAAAATCACTCTGCCTGTTAGGCAAATCGGGCTAGGTATACTAAGGAAAGTATACGTAGTATAGAAAGTATATTATATATGTATATATATTATTGAGTATCTCCTTAGAGAAGGAGATTAATCCTATTCCATCATCAAGTGTTCAACCAAGTAACGTCTACATAGAAAAATTACAAGAGCAACAACAACTAGTGCTCAGACGTCTAGACAGTGTAGCCTACTCCCCGCTACTCGACAGTACCCGTCACCCCTGGTTGATTGGTTGATTGGTTGATTGGTTGACCCCGACGCACCTGGCGTGTTGGGAGTCACCCCACTGGTTGTTAACCAGCGCATTGCTCATTTCTACCTGCCGGCTTCCAATTATCGAGACACCAGCGCCCCCTGGACGGCCGTTTTTCCGTATATATAGAATTTAGCCAGCTCACTTAGTCAGACTACTGGCTCACCATAGCCCGTGCTACTTGGAACTTTATTCAAGGTAGCGAATCTTTAACATCTTAGTCAGAACATTCTCAGTGCTCCATAGCTGTGTATCTCTGCTTTCACGCTACCTTGGGTGATGGAAGGAAATTTACCTATCAAATTTGGAAGGTGATGGTAAATTTTCACAGTATTTTCAGCACCATTTATTTCTTGTTCTCTAACGTAAAGTTAACTTGTCTGTTTGATTGTTTTGTTTGATATTTTTGCACCCTGTAATATAGCCAAGTTTTTTAAGGAACTATTTTCAGTATTGTTATTTGTTAAAGTTAATCTTTCATATTAAAGTATTTATATTTTTCCATTCCCTATATTTTATCCTGCATTTACCACACTGTGAAAAAGTCCACATAGCAGTTTTATTTTAATTCGTTTTTACTTTTTTTTTTGGTTTATATGTTCGTGGCATTCCATCTGCCCTAAGCCACTGCTCTTAGTCATTTTACCATAACAAATTATATAATATATATATATATATATATATATATATATATATATATATATATATATATATATATATATATATATATATATATATTTATGATCGATGTTCCCTTCGGGAATCTTAATTTTAAGATGAATAGGAAAACCAGGGATATACTGAACATCTTGTATCAGAATCTTTACTTTAAAAAACATAACGTTTCGAATACTTCTCGTATTCATCATCAGATCTAAAAGAAAAAACAGAAATCACAATCAAATAGCTGGTAAACAAAGAACTCAAACTGAATATAATTGCCTATCAAAGAAAGGAAAATGCTTAAAAAACAAAACACTTAAGCGCACTTAAAGTGATCAATACAAATAAAACTTATTAACTGTCACATATATTAAAACTAATTTAAAATCCATTAAACTACAAGATGAAATTTATAACTACTAAAACAAACCATTCTATTAAACTTACGTGAAGTGATCAGAAGTGAAACTTGATACTTAACACATAGATACTAAACACTATAACAAATATTTATATAATATCTACAAATCTACAAAAAATGTATGTAAAATACAAACAGAATAAACGACAATTATAAAGTACTAACCAAAATCTTATAAAAAACTCAAGTATTAAATAAAATTAAATACCAAAAAATGTATTATATATCCTAAATAAAAGATTATATTAATGTACAATGTTAAGACTTGAAATAAGTAAGAAAGGGCAAAGACATGGTAAACTAAACAAAATTAAACTACCAAAATAAACTAAAAATCAAATTACAGGGCCTACTGGGCACTATACAGTGTACAATTGAACAGCTGAAAGGTTGCTATTTAACAGAGGCCGCAGCTCCTTTATATATAAGGATTCCATTACTCTCAAATCTGACTGGCCATTCATACAAGTGTCCAGAATTTTAAAATCAGATTCCAGCAAAGAATGATCAAACTCATAACAATGGTTTCTAATCTCCGAAAATGCTGGTTTAGACAATGGTAATCCAGTCCTAAAAGATAATCCCCGGTGCTCAAGTATCCTAATCTTAAAGTTCCGAATGGAACTCCCGACATATCCAGCATTACAGCTGGAACAATTATACATATATACGACATTTGAGCACAAGGGGGTAGGCACTTTATCTTTAATAAGAGCCTATGGTATTTGTGTTGACAAAAATAAATCTAAAGTCTACTTGAGGATAACACTGCTGCAACAGTCTCCTCAAACGACTCCTTACAGAAAAGCTAATACTGCCATAAAATGGTAATTTAATATATTTAAGATCCCTTTCCACTGTAGTAATCCTACACGATGGGTGAAACTTCTTATTTAAGAAATTCCTTATAAAAGTATAAACCATATGCACAGGATAACCATTATTTGAAAAAAATTTCACAAGAAAATTAATTTCCTGATCAAAGTTATTCCAATTAGAACATAAAACGAGAAGTATTCGAAACGTTATGTTTTTAAAGTAAAGATTCTGATACAAGATGTTCAGTATATCCCTGGTTTTCCTATTCATCTTAAAAAAAAAAAAAATATATATATATATATATATATATATATATATATATATATATATATATATATATATATATATATATATATATATATATATATATATATATATATATATATATATATATATAATACATATGCTGTACCTAGTAGCCAGAACGTCGTACTCGGCCTACTATGCAAGGCCCGGTTTGCCTAATAGGCCAAGTTTTCCTGTGTTATATATTTTTTTAATATTTTTTCTAATGAAATGATAAATCTGTCCATTTCATTATGTATAATTTTTTTTTTTAATTTGAGTTAAAACTAACGTAGATATATGACCGAACCTATCCAACCCTACCTAACCTAACCTAACTTATCTTAACCTAACCTAAACTAACACAACTAAGTCAATAAATTATGTTCCTAATATTATATAATAATAATTCCAATAAACTAATTGGAAACAATTTATTAAAAATAAAGAAAATAACTCGGCCTATTAGGCAAATCGGACCTTGCATAGTAGGCCAAGAAGTGCGTTCTGGCTACTAGGTACGACATATATGTACGCTATATTTTTAGCATATGCACCACATGTACACCAAGTAAACTACAAAGAAGCGTCAGTAAGAGCCGGGAGATAACTCCCCTGGTGTCTTAGAGGAACACCAGGAGGAGAGAACACCTTAGTAAAGATCACTTTAACAGTAGATAACATTTCAAACTATTGCGTTCATCCTGTTTGAAGACAATCTCGTGATATACGAGATTACACTGAGATACGCGGTCTCATTGTATATACAAGGAGTATATCCGAATGCTGGGTATATTTTTTGGTATACCCAGCATCTTCGTTCGAATACACTAAGAGTTTAATATAGTCCTGGACTATGTTTAGGGCTATAGTGTTCCTGTTGGTTGAGTAAATATTGAGGAGACGTTAATAACCCTATAGAATAGGGGTTCTTAACTTCTTGACGATTGTAGAGCCTTAACGGTATACCTTATATGTCTCTATGTCACCAGATGATTGGAAACGTCATTATCGTCACCTGTCCTATTAGGTACCAGAATGACTTCAAAAGATGTCAATAAAGTGCATTCATTTTACATATAGACAGCTGGGAACAGAATAGCTGGAATAAAATCATAATTATTTTTTTCTAATTTACAAGACTTTTAATTCGATTTACGTCAGTTTTAATTCGATACAAGGCAATTTGAATTCGTCATAACGCAATTTTTAAATCGGTATAAACCAATTTAAATTCAATTTACCGCCATTTTTATTCGACTACACTAGTTTAAACTCCATTTATGATTCGACTAATGGCAGATTTGAACTAATTTACACCATTTTTCTGGTAATATATAAAAATATAGAGGCTCTTCCCGGTCGCTGCCCTCAGCGAGGCGTCTCTGGCTCTCTAAGGTTCACAGGCCGGTATACAAATTACAGGAGGCCAGGCCTACCAGGAACAGGTCCGCCACGCAGACCTGGAAGACACAGCAGGTCTCGAAGACACACAGCATAAGGGACGTACACAGCGAGAGCTGTGCCCTACTTCTCTGTGTACATGCACTTGGGAGTTTGCAGACGAGGAGTCACATTAACGTGGCTGAAATATGTTGACCAGACCACACACTAGATAGTGAAGGGACGACGACGTTTCGGTCAGTCCTGGACCATTCTCAAGTCGGAAAAACGTCGTCGTCCCTTCACTTTCTAGTGTGTGATCTGTCGACACACTAGAAAGTGAAGGGACGACGACGTTTCGGTCCGTCCTGGACCATTCTCAAGTCGGAAAAACGTCATCGTCCCTTCACTTTCTAGCGTGTGGTTTGTTCAACACTTGGCAGTTAGTTTTAGACCTGAATTATGTTCTGGACTAATGTTTATTTTCATAGTGGCACAGCCTTAGTTAGTCTCCTGTGGTTGATAGAGGGCTGAAACTTAACCAATTTCCCCCCTCCCCTATCCTGCTCCAAATACATTTTTAATATGTTACGTTAATGTTATATTGGCCTTACATAGATGAGGGCGAGGGGTTGTAGACAATGATTTGTCTACAACACGTGAGGAACACGTGAGGATCACGTGAGGAACACGTGAGGAACATGTGAGGAACACGTGAGGAACATAATTTGTCTACAACAGCAGATAATATTAGATCAACCTTTGAGCTAGAAATTAAGAAATACAAGTGGATATGAATTTTTAACAGAGATAATGCATCCAGATCCATTAGCAAATACTCACAAACAACAAATCAAAAATAGAAAAGAAAGACAATGACAACCCAGCAGCTGATGTCCCCACGACACAGCGATGAAGAAGCCAGGAGCAAGAGGCCGCTGGCCAACCGAAATATTTTAATTTGGTCGAAACGTGGGTTGTGGTCGACTCTTCTGTTGATTAACTAAACTACCCTAACGATCTAATTCCTCATGCTGCTGCTCGACATTTATATCCTGCTGGTCGATTGTTCTACTGTTGGAGATTGATTGACTGTCCAGAGAGTTGAATAACCCCTCCAAATGGTAAACTGATCCATTTTGCTGGTCGGCGTGAGAGATGAGATCGACTACTCCCTCCTAATGGTCGATTATTCTTTCTCACTGATCAACTATCCAGTCCTGGCTGTCGACCCTCCCTCCCCCTGCAGCTTCTTGGACGCTGTAAACAACGCCGAGTTTTAACTAAGTTTTGAAGAGAAAAAGTCTGGAGCAGCCTCAACAACAGCTCTCTCCCCTCCTCTCTCTCTCTCTCTCTCTCTCTCTCTCTCTCTCTCTCTCTCTCTCTCTCTCTCTCTCTCTCTCTCTCTCTCTCGTTTCAGCAAAATACTGACATTCTCTGGTGTCAGCTGAAAAAAATATGCAACGTTGGCGAGTTTTGTCA